TGCTGCTGTTGGGTGGAGGAAGGTTGCTCAATACAGCCAAACACGAAAGGGTGAAGTATAGCAGATTTCTATTTAAAATCTAGTCTAATGTAAGGGATGTTTTTTGAACCGCCTTTCTAATCCAGTTATTCACAGCTGTTCATTGGGGAAGGACATCCAGGGACATCCAGTCCATTTTTAGAACATGAAATGGGGAATTTTCTTTGGTTGGGTCTGTTGTTTGCCAGCTGGCCGGATTTGAAATGTCAGTAAACTAGTGTTAGTTTTGGACGGGGGAGTGTGGGTCCACATGAGGGGTGGAGGTTAACAGCTGGCAAGGGGGCATGCTGTGTGAGGAAGAGACAGAGGAGATGAAGCTAAATTCTGGAGAAGTGATGCTGCCATGCATATTGGCACAAGACAGACAGTGAAGGCATGGCTTTTTTTAAGCGTTAGGTTTGTTTTGATTTAGAGTGAGCAGGCTTGAGAACTGAGGGTTTCTCTGATAGACCTGAGATGGCTCATCTGCATAGAGGGCACGTAACTGCCTGCAGAGGGTTGACCCAGTGGGTAGTTGATGGTCACTGTAATTCCCACAGCTGGTATTTCTGGGGATTCATATGCAGTGAGGAATTTGTAAGCTAAACTGTGTCCTGATGTCTTTAAGCCTTCCTGCCATTCATCATCCTTATGGCTCTTCAGGATTGGTTAGGGAGATCGGCAGATTTTTTTTCCCTCATGACTTTTGTTGAGCTCTTTTCCTGGTCAGTGTTTAGGTCTTGATAAAGTCACCATGTGGTGAGCTCTGGCCTCAGGTATCTGGGCCTCCAGTTCTTACTGAAGCGTGAAATCTAAAGAACCACACCCAAGAGTTCAATAGCATTAGGCTCATAAAATTATGTTAATTTTTAATATTACCTTTTTAGGAAGAATAGGCAGTCTTCATTTACATAATTGCTGACATCTAGATAAAATTTTGAGCTGTTTCAGGGCAGGAATGCTCTGAGTTCTGCGAATCCCCAAACAGGCCAAAAATTCATGAGGTTATAAGTAAATCTTAGAATCTTTATTGTGTTTTCTTTTTAACTCCTAGCAAGGAGCAATCAGATCCTTGTTTTTGTGTTCTCCATTTATATGAGAACAAGAGGTCACTGGATGACATTACTGCTTTGTAAATTTAGAACAAATAAAAGGAAATGCTACTTCACCTAGTGCGTCGTCATCCTGTGGAATACACTGTTCCAGGATGTTAGTCTAAAGCTGTAGCCGGAACATGAAAAAATAGCCGGACCATGCTTGTTTCTAGCCACATTTGCCAACAGGGATAACCAAGTCTCGTGTTCCAGAGCATGTTCATCGTGGGTGTAGCTCAGAGCAAACACCCTGGGCTCCCCAACTGGGAAAAGACAACTTTGCAGGGGAAGATTGCTGTAGCTTCTTTTAGAGATAACAAGATTGATTTCTTTTGTTTGTTTGTTTTTGGTGTGAGATGTCAGATTGATGGTCAGTCTCATCTAGACAGTGCAGTGAATGAATGCCTTTCTTTGTTAATATCCTTCAACAGGTGAGTGTCTGGACATTACTGGCTCAAGTAGGAGTTAAAGTGGTAGGATCAGTGTTTTTTTCCCTGTGAGTGAGAGCATTTTTCTGTTAATCTCATTTCTGCCCTTACTGAGGGCCAGTGTAGTAGCATGCCTGTTGCACATCAGCCTGCACAGCAAGAGACCTGTGGCTGCCTGCAGGGCAGGGAAAACAGGAGTGTCTTGTGCTCACAAGGTACCTGGCTTTGTCTGTTGTCTCTCTGAAGCTGTAGGAAAGGTGAGGACTGCTGAGCCACTCTGCAAAGGAAGTGTCCCTATTAACATGTTTCTGGATTCCTGATTAACCTCATTTAAAATGTTTAATTGTAACACCATTGCATGATAAGCAGAAGAACAGGTTTGTATGGTTGCTTAATTTCCCCAAAGAATTGTTACGCTGTTAACGTTAAAATCTTATCTGTCCTTCACAGTGAAGCCTGAATTGTTCCAATTTGTTCTCCTTAGAATAGGAGTGAGGTTTGGGATTGTATTCTTTTATTTCCCCTCTCTGGTGATACCACTAAATCCCAGTGTAAATGTTGCTTTTGAATTGACTCATGGGGCATGCTCTTCATAAATTTATCTTGCACGAAGTTACGTTTTATTTGCAGTTTCAATTACACAGCAGACTCTTTAATTCTGTGACTCCTCATCTGGACAATTTAAGTATGAAGATCTTCTTGATCTTTTTATTTCTCCTCTTGTCTTACAAACTTTAACTTTATTCTTTGAACAGAGGATTCCCAACACTGAATGTAGAGATTTTAAAAATGATAGTGATGTAAGAAGGAATTAGTGATTTTCTATGTTGGTCTCTCCAGTGATCCAGAAAGTCAGTAACTTCTTATCAGAGGAGTGTCTGTATTTCTGTTTTATGCCAGTATTTGAGATTTCATGTCTTCCAAGGTGATCTAAAACTGATACTAATTACTTTGCATTTTCCTTTCTTCCTTTTTTTTCTCCCCAGAAAAAGACGCAAAATTAGGAAATGGGACATCACTGAATAGGAGTGATAATAAATCAATTTTACCAACTGTTTTAAATTACTTTTCCCCATTGCCCAAGAGCATGCCAGTGGCTTGTTGAATGATCTGGTGGTTCCTTATAAAAGATGGCTGGTTTTGAAGTGATGAAAGGTCCTTGGATGCTTCATCCTGGGATGTTTGAACTTTACATAGGATACTGTTGTACAGATGCAATTGTAGATATTTTCGGCTTTGCCGCCCTGTGCTGTCTGAACAAATTATTTTGAACTTGGTTTTACCAGGGAAAAAGCTCCTTCCTCTTAGCGGGACCTCAGAGATGCTGCTCGTTCTTTTCGAACGTCATACTGATTTTTGCAGTAGTGTTTCATGTTCTATAAAAGGTTTCTCTAGAGGAGTCATTCTTACATAGCACAGTTTTTGATGGAAATGCAGTTAACCACCCACTTTTCCACTTTCGCAAGGAAAAAGAAAGATTCCTGTGATTATCTTCTTTGGGAATAAATTTTATCATAGCTGCAAATATTTAAAGGAAAAGTCAGGGAAGAGGGAAGGAGTTCTTCGAAGTTTTATTTTTAGAAAATTGTCAGCATTTATTTGTGCTTGCTTACAATTGATACAGATCAGAGCATTTTGTCCAAGATAGAATGCTCCATGCCAACCCCCTGTTTCTAATATGAATGGAGAGTCCTTGCCTTAAAAAGGTATTTGGCTTCATTCATTGCCTATGTTATGTGTCTGTAGCACCCTTTTCCAGGTATTGGTAATGCCTCAGGGTAAAGTTAGTGTTACTGCAGGTGAGTGCTGCGGTCTATCATATGAAAAGAAGTATATTCTGAAAATAAAAGAACTTAAAATAAAGCAGACTTTACAGATGTATCCTTTTTATTGACATCACTTACACATTTTTTAGTGGATGCTCAGCTTGATGTTGAACTTCCAAGTTTGATGCTCAGCTTCAAAGGTATTTATTTTTGATCAGTTTTATGAATGATAGAGAAGTGAGAAACAGATTGGGAAGTGATAATTAACAGGGGTCATGTGTTGAGGTGATGTGTGTGGTTTTTTTAGTGTTCATTAGCAAAATCTGGTTGCATGCTTGCAAGAGCCACATGGGCTTTACCAGCCTGACACAGTTTAGTTTGGTTTAGTCTGTTCTTTCATCTACAGATGATGTAGATGGGCTTTTTATGCACAAAACATGTAGAGGAGTGTGGGAGAGTCTGGGCTGCTGAAAGGTTTTAGAGTTGACATAAAGGAGAGCCTTTTGAGTTTTGTTAATGGTGCTCAACTTAATGCAGCTTTTTTTAAATCTAGGTCTTGCAAATACTTCGATATTGGTCTGCTTTAAGAAGTCAGTTTGATGGAAATTGATACTGAAGTGTATAGAAAGAGACAATGTTAGTAAGATAAGATAACTACAGTGTGGGAAAGAAAGACTTTTGTCTTGGGAAGAATAAATGTTGATTTATAGTAAAGTCTGGACCCCAGCTGAATGGGCCGGCCTGTGGACAGCAGACATGGTCCTGTGGAAAGCTAGGAGCTTTTATTTCTCTCTGCTGCCGCCATCTGACTAAAGAAGAAAGCACTGGTGACAGGTAACACAGAGACCTATCTGCTTTCCTGGGCAGAGGGGAGCTTTGGCTTCCCCCCATCCCGTGCTTGTCTTCTACTCGTTTGTTAAAACACTGAACTGCTTGTTAAACTCAGGGCAGCTAACGCGTGGGAATTAGCCCAGGATAGAAACACACTGAGGGCAGTATTTTTAGAGGAAGGAAAACTCATCACAACCTCAAGCTGCTAATGTTGGAACATCTTTTATGTAATACGTGTAGAACAAGCCCTCAGGAAACATGAGGTTTAAAAATGCAATGATTTATCTTCTAAACTGCGTATTTGATCTCTCTTCTAGGTTGTGTATTTTGTTTGGTTTCTCCCCTCCTCCCTGGTCATAACTCTAAACAGATTTTTAGTATGTTGTTACAGAGCATCTTCTCTAATTCATTAATTGTTAGAAACTGATATATTTTACTGTTAGCAAAATATTTTAATGTGTTGCCAATTTCAAAAGTAATCAAGTATTTAAAAAAAACTTAAGGTCTGCACATTTATTATACTTACTCCTACTGCTCTGTGCTTGATTTGTGTTGTGCTGGTAGCTGGTTATAAGAGATTTCTTTAGTCAGTTCAGTATTGGGAATGACAGCTAAAACATCTGTGGTTCTGTACATTTAGGAAGGGATTAAGTATGTTATGGTGAAAACCATGGTTGAAAGGTGCAGATACTTTCTGTTGTGCAGCTCATTGCCTCTGAAAACAGCTTCAGTAGCCTACAGTAGTATATTATAGATAGATAAAGTATAGATAGATATTATAGATTGTAAAGAGAATGCGTTCTCTTGCTATCTCTCATTGGCATGCTCAGAATGCACAGTATTAATTTTCTCTCACTCTTCAGATTATCACTCCATGTCGGAAGCTCATCCTTTGTGCTGATAACAGAAAAGAGATGGAAGATTGGATTGCAGCACTGAAGACTGTACAAAACCGTGAACATTTTGAGGTAATAAGAAAATGTACTCCTTTGCACTCTGTGCTTCATCTCCTACCATTATTTAATGTCACTCAGCTTGGTTTGAGGTTGGAGTCAGCTTCCATGAAAGTTAACAGAAGTCGTATTATTTGCTATAGTGGGTGTAGTGTTAAGCCTTCTGTAAAAGCTGTTCCAAATACACTGAAGTGATTCTCCAAAGAACGTGTGTGGCTTTGTATACCCTCCCTTGGTAACTTCAAGAGCTCTTTTCTGAATATGGGTAGGTTATGAAACACAGTTCTCCTCCCATTGTCTTTTCACTCTTCAGTTGTCCTCTCTGTCCTAATTCATGTCTTCCCTGCTTGGTATTCTGCCTGCTTCAGAACATCTGTTTGCTTTCTGGGGCTGTAGTAAGACCAGCACTGTCACCAAAAGACCTTTCTTGTGTTCTCCCCACTCTGATGCTTGTCTCCTCTCTTATGCTGGCTCAAGCATTCCTCTGCTGCACAGTAAGCCAGGTTGGGGAATTGATCTTACTGAAAACTTAATCCAGCAAACAACTGGGGAAGGGAAGGATCAACTCTCCAGCAGATAAATTCTCCTATTCATTTGCCTAAACAAGCTTGTAGTGAGACAAGGATGGGGGGGTAGGACAGGAGCAGAAATGAAGGTATGTCATCTTCTGCAAGTACCCTCTTCTGACTTAAAGACCTTATTGAGTCAGCTAGCGTGCATAAACTGCATGTGGCCTCCTCTTCCCTAGTGAAAGCATTCTGTTTCTGACTCCTATGTGCAAGTCTTTGTTTTACAAAGGAAAAAAGGTCTTCTTGGTTTTGCTTTCAACTTTGCTGTAATATATTTATTTTATTAGTCTACCCAGTACAGCATGGACCACTTCTCAGGGATGCATAACTGGTACGCCTGCTCGCATGCTCGGCCAACATACTGCAATGTGTGTCGGGAGGCATTGTCTGGAGTCACATCACATGGGCTCTCATGTGAAGGTAAGTGTGCTCTCTTGTCTCCTGTTTTGGGATCACCAACTTTATAGCTCACTGCCAAGTTCCAGAGATAATTTAAGAGGAATATTGTTAGCAGGCTGCAAAAAAGATGTAGAAGAATGCTGCATAATAAACTTGAGACAGCTCCAGGCAGTGTATGAGTAGAGGTCTTTTCTAGACCTGATGCTGAATCCCTTTGCTGTTGAATCCCTTTGGCTTTACAGAAAATTTTCATGCAGAAGTCTAGATCAGGATCTTGACATTTTGTAAAAGGATAATAGATGTGACGTTTTCATGCTGGTTTTAGTGTTGGACCTGGTAGTAATATAGCTGATTTCCCCCCCCATACCCAAATAGGGCCATTCCTTACCTTATTTAAAATCATGCTTCTGAAGTGAACAGGGATGTACTTCTGACGCATCAGAATACTCATAATAATATTTCATAAGAATAATCGTATTTGTAAGAACCTCCTTGTTATGTGTTTGAATGTCAGGAGTTTATTCTTTTTCAGCTCTGGCATAGCAGACATTCCTGATTGCTCACAACTCGTACTTCTAGCATGAATGAGGTTACACCCACACTGTGTTAAAGGATGCAGGGGTGTATGACTGTGCAAATCATGTCAGATTTAACAGGGAGATAACTAAACTTTGTACAAGCAGCTGGCAAAAGTAACAAGGCAAGAATTAATAGCTAGCTCGCCTTACTCAGGATGCTTAGAGCAGATAGTTTTGGCAGTGCTAACAGGGGTAGTGTATGCCCATGCTTGCTTCTGGAGCTAGATACGGTCACTCAGAAAAGCTTTTGCACAGACTGCCACATTACACATTCTGAGACAGGATTAATATATTCTTCTCTTTCTCTCTAGTGTGCAAGTTTAAAGCCCACAAGCGGTGTGCTGTGCGGGCAACCAATAATTGCAAGTGGACAACTCTGGCCTCTATTGGGAAGGATATCATTGAGGATGAAGATGGGGTACGTGTTAGTCTTAACTCTTTCAGCCTTACCTTGATGTGGAAGCACAGCGTCTGCAGCTTTCTTGACTGTACAGACAGCAGATTCTGCCTCTGTGTGTTTGCAGTGTGGGAAAGGCCTTTACTGTCAGAACACGATATTCTGTGTGAAAAGTCTGACCAAGTTAGCAAGGACTTCCTAATAGGAAGAGCCTCCTGCTATAGACTGGAGGAGCTGAGGTTATGTGATTGGAGGTATGGCAGCCTGATCCAATTTTTGGCAAAAGGAAGATAAATGAGTGGTTGGAACAGTACCTTAGCATATGGGATGTCTGGTGACAGTAGGCGTTTCTTGGGTACCCTGGAGCGAGTCACCTGGTCTTTTTGTGCTTGTGCATGATGTGAAATGGCAAACAAGATCCTGAGGTGTTTCCTAGAAATTGTCTTTGCTGCCCTTAAACAGTGCATGTAAAGACTTGCCTCCCTTTATGTCTCAGTGCCCCTGGGCATCCTGTGCCCTTGAGTTGGACTCTGAAAAGTCCATATTACTTCTCTCCCTCTGTACCATTTGCAGATCTCAATGCCGCATCAGTGGCTGGAAGGAAACCTGCCTGTGAGTGCCAAATGCACTGTGTGTGATAAAACTTGTGGCAGTGTCCTACGACTGCAAGACTGGCGCTGCCTTTGGTGCAAAGCCATGGTGAGTTGAATAAACATGATCATTTCAATAAAAGGATAGTCTTTGATCAGCTCTGTGGTGTGTTTTTTTTAATGACATTTACTTAAAAAGGAATCTCTAACTGTGCTATCAGTATTTGCCATGAAGGACTTTACTGTTCTTTCTCCAGATGATAAAACAGCCTGCAAGAGAGAAAGAAATTTAAATTTGTGCTGAAAAGTATCACTGTGATGCATAAAAAGTATCTGGCTTCTCTGCAACCTCATTTTCTTTTGATAGCGAGCTTTCATAGGGAATCTAATTACAGCAGTTATGAATCAAGGCATGGGAGATGTTGGAGCCATTATTTGTCATTTCTGTAAGTTGAAAAGGTAGAAGAAAACAGGGCAATAAAGAATACTAAGCAATTTTAATAATAGCAGTTTCCCTTCCCATTGCAATCGGCTTCTCCTGCCTAATAATCACTGCAGTGGTGCAGATCTTGCTATGTTTCCAGTTGTCTATAATACTAGTAAGAGAAGTATCACAAATATGTTTTTATAATGCAAATCCTCTAATTAGCAGTCTTTGGTTACCAGAAATGATTCAAGTGCCTTACTCTGCTTTGTATTCCCTTTTTCATTTGGTGGCTTGATTAATCTCTTCTTCTGTTATATCCCTCATGTCTTCCTGCTTTGGTTTTGAATTCTGGTTTGCTTGAATCCCTAGGTTTTTCTTTCATGCTATTTCTCACCTGTCAACCGAGGCTTGGATTTTGAAAGCAGAATGTCTGAAAGCTCTTAAAACCACAGAATGTGTTACCTGGTCCTCATCTCTCAAAGTGCTAGTCTCAAGTTGAAATGGCAGAAACAGTGCATATTAATGGAAGGAGGAGAGTTGGTAGAAGACTGGTTAGATAATTCTTGAAGTAATTTTATTGATTGACATTTCCTTGGCTTCACTCCTTCTTCCTTTTTTCCTCTTTCTTTACAAGCTCTTGTTGTATGGCTTTAAGACATACAGCACAGCACCCCAAAGGGTCTGAATGTTTTGTTTTAATTTTTTTACTTTTTGTGCTGTTTTCAGGTACACACAGCATGTAAAGAGTTGTTGCCAAACAAGTGCCCTCTTGGGCTGTGCAAAGTATCTGTCATTCCTCCAACTGCTCTTAACAGCATTGATTCAGATGGTAAGTAGCATTAGTAAGTAGTACATTTCTCTTCTTCTCAGTCACAGTCCCTTCAGCTAACAATATTAATAGCAGATTATCTCAACTGAAAATTCTGTTTTGGTGTTGCTGAAATTCCAAACTGGAAGACATTGCTGGAATATGGCAGTGAACTGTTTGCTTTTGATTTTATTTGCTTTATTACCCTGTAACATCAGTATTTGCTGAAATGCAGCTGTTAAAATTTATTGAGAACAGTTATATTGCAGAAGCAGCTCAGGAACATTGGGAAAGCTGAAAAATTTGGCATATTGCTAGGAGATAAGCATAACATTTGGCAGCATGACGTGTGGTTTGTGCTGGATTCAGGGCTCTGCACATTTGGCATCTACCCAGTGAGTGCCAGAAGCACAAAAAAAGTATTGGCTTCTTCATAGCTGTGCTGAGGTCTGGGGTCTTGTTTTCTCTCTTTATCTCCATGGGCAGCTTTACATCTCTTGGTTTTTTCTCCCTCTTCCTTCCCTTCCCCCCCCCCCCCCCCAACAGGTTTCTGGAAAGCTACTTGTCCCCCTTCTTGCACAAGCCCTTTGTTAGTATTTGTCAACTCAAAAAGTGGAGACAACCAAGGTGTAAAATTTCTACGAAGATTCAAACAGCTACTGAATCCAGCCCAAGTCTTTGACCTCATGAATGGTGGACCTCACCTTGGGTAAGTAAGTAAGATACTGTATGGAAGTACCCATTCCTTGTAAACACCAGAAAAGTACAAGTGATTTATTTGATTGTAAACTCGTCCACAAGCGTAGCAAGGAACCTGTTTCTCAGAGAAGACTGAGCACATGAAGTTTGGAGGGGTTTTCCCCTCTCTCTGTTTAGTGTTCTTGGTTAGCTAAAGCCAAAAATGTTGTTGAAAAAGGTTATTATTTCCATCCATCAGTAACAGCAGGACAGCTAGAGGATGTCTGGGGGAATTCCAGAAACACTCCCCTGGAAGAAGACCAAGCATGGAAAGCTTGAATCCAGAAGAAAACTTGTCAGCAGACAGACTTGTAACAGGCATCCTGATGTACTGTTAATGAGAGATAACTTCACTTAAATTGGGTGAACAGATGTCATAGGTAGCAAATGAAAATTGTCAAAATGAGATTTATCCAGAGATAACTTACCTGGGAAGCCTGGCAAGTATGTGGTGTTGATATTGGAGAAACATCTCTTATGAGTGCTTTTGGTAAAGTTGGTTCTGCCCTGGGATATAGATGACATTTCAGTCTAGCTTACACTAGAATATCTATGGATTAAAAAAAAAGTGAGCACTGTGGAATAAATTCCTTGAAGGTATTTCTGCAACTCAGTTTAAAAAAAGACAAAAAGTTTGCTCTCTAGTTTGCCCCCTTCCAGATACTTCTCTGTTGCTTTATATTTGAGTAAATTTTATCATGAGTGGGTGCTTCTTACAATAAGGGCCAACACAAGGTGAATTTCCTTCAGATTTGTCTAAATGTGGCTTAGAGTCTGTGGCTGAGACCTGTAGATGCAGGGTGTTAAATCTAGGAATGTCCACCGCTGGGTGAGTGACCATTAGGTTCTGCTCTTCTCAGAACTGTTGTAGTTTCTTGCCATAGTACATTGCAAAACGCTGTCCTTTAAAACCACAACATACTGTCCAAGGGATGTGTTTGACTGATAAATAATTTACAGAAACCTTTTAAATACTCTTTTTCTTCTCCCCAGTTGGGCTGACTGTAGAGAGGAATTTTGCTTTTAAGCAGAAGAGAAGGGAAGAGAGGGAATCAGTAATTTTCTCAAGCTGTGGTGCACATTTCTAAAGTAGCTGCTCTTGGATGCTTTCTTAAAAAGGAAGTGATGGTACAGGGTAAAGGCTGCTGCTTGATGATTTAAATAATCTCAGCTGTTGCCAGTCAAACTATACCATAAGATGTCATCCTGACAGCCATTTTTTATGTGTCAGCAATGCCTAAAGAAATAAGGATTTCCATGCACTATAGCAAATCCTGTTTACGCGGTGATAAATCTACAAAACCAAAATAAAAGCAGACAGTACTTCTGGAACATATTAACATATTCGGTAAGAAGCACAGTTTCAAACAGCTTAAGAGGAGGTTGTTTTTAATATTCTGGGAAGGGTGAATAGAGAAATTCACACTTGTCTTGCTGGTGAGTTATTTGTCTGCCTGTGGGACATACAAGGCAGCGGAGCATTGACTTACGTTGCTTTCCCAGAAGAGGGACTAAAGCTTGTGAGACTTCACAGCCTCTTACAGTTGTTTGTTTATTGAATGACTGCATAAAGTTCCCACTCTTCAAACTTTGCTTTTACTTGTGTGGCCTTAAGTGCAAAGGCAGTGACATCAGAGCACTCCAGACAGTGACAAATAACTAGTGTTAGGCTGAACACAGCAAATCTGCAAAAAAGAATTAATCAGCTGTCACATGCTTGTTTCCTCTTCAGACAAAAGTGCCTTGCTTTAGTAGAAGAGTGTGTCTGGGACATATTTCTTTAGTGAATAGCCATTGTAAATCCTTCACTGTATTTACAATACCTTATTTATAATAATTTTAACTAATCTGTAATCTGACAGTGGCCAGTATTCATTCCGAAATCGGAGCCTACTTTAAGCAGATCTGCTATATTTATTACCTAGATTGGAATTGTTTATCATTTCTTTCTGTAACAGCAATTGTTCTTCCCTCTTGCTTTTTTCTTTCCCTTCTCCATAGTTTGCGCTTATTCCAGAAATTTGACACTTTCCGGATTCTAGTTTGCGGTGGGGACGGAAGTGTTGGCTGGGTTCTCTCCGAAATTGATAGCCTCAATCTTCACAAGCAGGTACCTGCCCAAAGAACTTGGCTGGATGAAGGATTGAAGTAGTTTCAACAGCATATGTTGAAGAGAACTTTCTTTGATTGTACAGATGTAGCTTGCCCCAGGACTGAAGCTGCTGAAAGCTCACCACAGCAGTGCTCTTGCAGTAGTTCCCTGCAAGAAGTAGTGCTGGACTAATTCATTATTTGTATCTCCGGTGCTCCTCCACAATTCCTTCTTACATGATCCAAATTTGGAGTAGCTCTGAATTACTCCTGCTCTGTTGCCAGCAGAGACTTACATTTGGAGAGTGCTGCAGTTAGTAAAGTGAGAGTTCCACAAGATGTGCCTCATCTGTTCCCTTTAATTGTCTGGTGTAGTTTCTGAGTCTTAGGATAGACAGAAACTTCATTGGTGTAGAGGTATCGTACAATGTTTAGTTAGTTTCCATTTTGTTTTGGGAGACGTCTATGCTGATTTTACAGTAGAAGCAATAGCACCACCTGGTGGTTAGCTAATACGTCCGCAGAAGGGGTTACTTTTAGCAACGTGCTCCTCGACATGGTAGCTGTAATACACTTCTCTCTCAACTAACAACTTAAGTAGAGGAAATTTTTCCTTACTTGCCTGCTCTTCTGGCTGTTTTCCCCATCCAGTTACTTTCTCCTCACCCTGGGACTAGCTGTTTCTCAATGACTGGTCTGTGTAAAGAATCAGACATGTTACTTGTGGCTGTTTGTGGCTTATGTGTTCCCATTTGAATATCAGTTTTTCTTTCCTTTTCTCTAACACAGTGCCAGCTGGGAGTGCTGCCCTTGGGAACAGGGAATGACCTTGCTCGTGTTTTAGGCTGGGGGTCTGCCTGTGATGATGATACCCAGCTCCCACAGATCCTGGAGAAGCTGGAGAGGGCCAGTACCAAAATGCTGGACAGGTGGGTAACCATCACTAATGCCCTCAGGAGTGGTGTGAAAATACCCTTCCAGGATAACTGGGCAGTTCTTGATTTTGCCCACCTGCTGGACTTCATATTAATACCAGTTAACATTTCTTCTTCTCTGTCCCCCTCTAGCAATAAGAGGTACTCAGGTTTTCTGTGTCAGTGCTGCAGAACAGTAATGAGTAAAGTTGTCTGATGTCCAGTGTCCTCTTTTGAGTTCCAGAGTTCTCATCAGTTGATTCTGTTAGCCTTACAGTCATGGTTTATTTTCTTTAAGCTATATTTTTGTGATAAATTTGAACCAATTTATCTTGAGTTTGGCCTAGAGATGAAAGCTGGATGCAGTAACTGACATATTTACCCCTAGTATTAATATCGCTTATGTATGATTCTACATTTAAAAATGCTTCTTGTCATTAGAGTTGCATCTTGGCATCTATTATGTTGTAATGCCCATATTTCTGTGAGAGAGGGAGGAAGTATAGAAAAGTTCCTTGTGCTGTAGGAGACTTGTTCATAGTGTTATCCTTCACTCTTCCCCCAGTTCAGCCTCTCTGCAGTGCCATTGCACCCCTGTGGCTTCCTTACATCAGTCGTGCCCTAGCCAAAGTGCAGTTTGTTCTGCTTTGCAGTTCTAACCTGTTATGTGCTTTGGATAAAGGAGGAAATCATCTGCCTTGTACTGACAAGTATGATGCCTCCTTTTCAACAGGTGGAGCATCATGGTTTATGAAACCAAACTCCCCCGCCAGGCCTCCACTTCTACAGTTACTGAAGATTTCAGTGAAGATTCTGAGGTATGTCACGAGATGCAGAGGGCAGCGGACTGTGAGCAACAGCCTCAGAACAGACAAGATAGGAGGCAATGTTGAGCTCAAATGGAGCAGGCCTGAGCCATGACTTGGATGTAGCAGGAACTACAAAGACCTGGGAGCTTTAAGTTAATGAAATATTATGGAGAAGGATGGAAGCTGGGTCACTAGAGTCAACAACTCTAATGAGGGATGAGAAGAAGATGCTTTAGAAGAGGGCAGAGAGGAAACAATTGACTTTTATTTGCTGTCGTGACATGAAGTTGTTGAAATTCTGGAAAGCTGCGTAGCAGTCATAAAAAATAGTTTTAGATTCACAGTTGATCAGAGACTTTAAGAACTGTGCTGCTGATGATTTCTAGGTTCAAAATTAGTTTCTTCATCAGATTCAGGACTGAGACCTGAATAACAGAACTTCTCCAGAGCAAAAGAACCTGTAGAAGGATGGGTACTCTCTGGGGAGCCAGGGTTACACAGCATATGTTGTAATGTTGGGTGGCTTTTTTCTGCCTGTCACCAGGTGCAGAAGATTCTCTTCTATGAAGATTCTGTGGCTGCTCATTTGTCCAAAATTTTGACGTCTGACCAACACTCAGTGGTCATCTCCTCAGCCAAGTGAGTACTTAGAGGACAGCTGCTCTAAGTGAAAGTTGCACTCTGAAAATCCTCAGACAATCCTTGTGTGACTTTCTTTTCACTACCTTCTTTGTCTAGGGTGCTTTGTGAGACAGTGAAGGATTTTGTGGCTCGAGTAGGGAAAGCCTATGAGAAGGCAACAGAGAGCTCAGAGGAATCAGAGGTCATGGCCAGGAAGGTAAGCTTGGAAAAATTGTTTCTACTTCTGAAGTGGAAAACTGGTGTTTTCAGAGAACCAGGACAGCAGCAGTTCAGCAAGCACTAAAAGAATGAGCTACCCAGTCTACTGTTAGTTATACACAAATGTTGTTGTTCTCCTCGTAGTGCTCTGTCTTGAAGGAGAAGCTCGACTCATTGCTGAAGACATTGAATGATGAATCTCAAGCATCTTCATCTCTGCCAAACCCACCTCCCACCATTGCAGAGGAAACTGAAGATGGTGATGGATCAGGCAGTGCTTGTGATTCTTCAAGCGACCGATCAGTGGGCTCGTCATGTACTGCACGGCCCCAGATATTTCGTCCCCGAGAACAGCTCATGTTGAGAGCCAACAGCTTGAAAAAAGCCATTCGTCAGATAATAGAGCATGCAGAAAAAGGTAACTGTTAGCAGTCCCGCTTGTGACTTGTTACAGGCTCTTGAAAAGTATGCATTTACTTTATTCCATAGTAATGTTCTTAATTAAAGACAGGTTTCCTGAGCTACAGAAGCTATTCATAAAGACTGGCTATTTGATTTCAGTATCATCTCTGCTAAGCCCACCTGTTTGAAACATTGCTTGGTAAAAGAGCCCAAGTGTTAAAAGTGGTAAATGAGCCAAATGAGTTCAAGATACCTTGTCTCCCATTGGGCTGGTTTAGGAAGTTACTACCCTCCCACACTCTGTTCATTTGCATTTCCTGCCTGTCCCCACCCATACCACAACTGTGTCAGCACAACTGTTTGTGTGGCCTTGCCCTAAAACAGATCTGAAAATACTTAGGAAGAAAGTATTTTAACTTGGATTGTTTCAGAAATCTTTTTATATTAGAGCTCAGCAAAACAGCGCAGTGGTACAGTGGTACAGTTGCAGGAAAGGGCAGGAACTTCTTAAACTACCATTGTAACTAGGAAAACGTTTTAATACTGCACCTTGAAGCAAATCAGTTCTGTTCCAGTGTTAACTTCCTAGGCAGGTGACCCTTTTCTCCACATCTTGACCCTTATCTCTCTCCAGCCCACTCATATACATAACTTAGAGTTCCATTTCCTTTGAAAGGCGTCAGTCTCCCAGATGTTAGTCATAAACTCAGTGGTTTAACTTAGACCAAAGGAAGTACTTAACAGCTTATACTGTAGATAAAAGCATTGAAGTTGCAGATGTGACGTCCATGCACACCTAAATGTGCACTATAAGCAGCTGTGTAGTAAGTTACACAGAATTGCAATATTGCTTGGATTTCCAACATTGCAATATTGCATACAACCTATCCTGAAGTTATATGAGATGATGGAAGTAGAGCGGACAGCTTGCTTCTGATGAAATAGAGGTCTTGATGTCACTGCAGTCCCAGTTTACTGCTGCTTACTTTATGCCAATTTGATATTCTTTTAGGGCTCAACCAATTTGCTTAATCCAGCAAGAAGAGTTGTTATTTCTGCTGGGCTTGGATTACCTTGTTGATAGTTTTGAGGAACTCCAGAGTCAGCACAAGGGAGGGGAAGAGACTGAAAGAAGCCAGGCTTGTCTTCCTGCAGAGGCAGTGAGCTAGCAGATCAGCTCAGGGCTGTACCTGGTGAGGGGTTGCTGGAGAGGAAAGCGTGTTAATTGCATGCACTTAACTTTAGGCAACATACTGGCATTTAATTCTTACCAATTCTTAGGCAAACTCGTTACATTTCAAATGTAATTGTTGAACTTTTCCAAGCTGTTTTTCTCCTTCCAAAGTATGTAATTCAGTTATTTCCTTTGTATTGCTTTCTACCAACTGCTGTTTTCTTCCCCCAACTATGTGTGTCTAATTACCCTTTTCAAGTGGCTTATCCTATTGCCCCAGTACAGATTAAGCAAAAAGAAAAATCATTAATCATTTGATATCCATCTGTTTAGAACTTCTGGCAACATTTAAATGCAGGTAAATAGAAGCCTATCACCTGTAGGACACTTTACATCTCGGGAAGCCTGAGTACCTGTAGCATCAAAGGTGGACACTTCTATTTAGAACCTCGCTGCTAAAGAGATCAGCAAAGAAAACAGGAGGCTAAGCCAGCCCCATTTCAGAAGCTTTCCAGAGCAGAGCTTAGTTGAGGCAAATGATATATGAAAGCTTTTTGTTATTTCTGTTATTTCCTTTAAGGAATCAAGGCTTTTAGAGCTCCATCCTATTGTTATTTACATCTGTAGGAGATGTTCCTTGCTAAAAGAGCTGTGAGGCACTCACTTTCTCTCTCCTTACAGCTGTAGATGAGCAGAATGCCCAGACCCAGGAGCAAGAAGGCTTCCTCCTTAGCCTCTCAGCCTCTGAAGAGGGCAGGGAGCTGAGGAATGAGGATAAGATCTCCTTGCAGTCATCCCACAGCAGCAGCTATGGAGTGTCCAAAGGGAGGAGCCAGCGGAAAGGTACTGCTCTGGGGCTGCCACCATGCGGATCTTGCCTGTGAATTGTGATTCTGTTAGTTGTAAAAAGTGAGGGAGTTGTTACGTGTATTACCTTCCAAGTTCTGTTTTTCTCTAATTTTTGAATGATTGCCCTTCAGGTGACAGGTCTTGCACATTTCTAGGCTCTAGCCTGTGCATAATACACCCCACTTTTCACTACATCTCTGATGGCTGGTCTGTGAACTTAGCATATGGAGCCTAGGATTCAGAAATGTTCTTGCACCTTAGCCAGTAATCTGGGTTCTCTTGGCTTTCAGTGCTTGGACAGGATTGGTCTTGAGCATTTTTCATGTCATTTACTTGATGACATTTCCCTGTAAGCCTCTGACATCGTTTGCAGATGACAAGAGACCAGAAGCCAATTTGCTTTAATAACTGTATTATGTGAGTAATTTATTAGAACTCCCTGATCACTGCAGATTTATTTTGAATTTATCTGAGTATTGATTGGAAGCTAAATACCCTGTCTGTTGTACTGCTGGCACCAGCTTTTTCTCATCTCCATTTCTAATATTTGAATGTGGCATTTTGGTACCTCTTGTCTGTGAGCTTTTCTTGCTGCACATGTGCCACATCTCTGTCTCCTAATGACTGATTCTGTCAGCTTTTTGTTTTATGGTGGCTGCTGCAGTGTTTTGCTGTTGTGTGCTTCCTAACCCAGCCTTGCTGCTTGGGCTGTGCTGCTATATGCTGGTCTGAATCACAGTGTTATGTTTGTCTATAGCCATGTTTGTGTTGTGTTTTACAGCATCCAAGTCTCCTTGTGAAAGACTAATAAACAAAGGAAGTTTGTCACTGGGCAGCTCTGCATCTCTTCCTCCCCAGACAGGAAACCGAGACAACTTGCCAATGCTCAACACAAAAATTCTCTACCCAAGTAAGTGTAACACCCACCACTTCCCACTGAGGCAGCCAACTGGGGTATGGGTGACAGCAGCACAGGCTGCAGTCTCCACATGAAAGCATAAAATTGACCTGCCTGATGTCCTTTTGTGCACGGTCAGATTAAAGAGAAATTCATTGCTGGATAACTTTCCAGTTTGCAGCTGAGACCTAGACACAGATGTGCAGTGGCAGAATTTAGATGCCAATTACAAGGAGGTACTGAGCTCAAAGTAAGCTTGAGAATACTGGTACAATGCTGCTGAGAGGTATCTGAAGAGTGGCAGCCACAGACTGAGAGGAGCAGTCCCTTCATGTGAAGGCTGAAGTCACTGGAGGTGCACAGACCCAGCATCATTCAAACCTCCCACATCTTGTTTAGCAGCTTCTCCCCATCACTGGTACTGTCCTTCTGCTTCTTCCTCCATATTACTTGTTCAAATTGTTTCTTTTGGGGGAAGGTTGTTTCCTTTCTCTTTAACAAATCTACTGTTTCTGTGTTGCCATCTAATCACTTAAGAAACAGGAGGCAGTAATTATTGAGCAACTTGGAGAATAACTTGAGTCCTACTCTGTCTTTCCTCATTGAAGCAAGGATGTTGCATGTGTTAGCCTGGAACAAAAGGCTGATGCAGTGAATACACTCCTATTTCCCATTTCCATGTGTCTGTTACAGCTCTGCTGCTGACCTTAGGTGATATCACAGTATCACAGTATGTTAGAGATTGGAAGGGACCTCAAAAGATCATCTAGTCCAATCCCCCTGCCGGAGCAGGAACACCTAGATAAGGTTACACAGGAAATATCATGTCAATCAAAACCCCTGCAGGTGGCCTGAGAAACCCTTCTCCCTGTTGAGAGGGCTAAGCCTTCTGTAGTGGAAGAAAGCGCTATTGCTATTTGCTTTCCACAGTGAACAACAAGATTTAATATGTTCTGCTCTGTTGTCTTGTCTTTGAGATTGAAGTTACCTGTTTTCTGCTTATTATTAATCATGCTCTTTCCTGTGGTCAATATTCCTACAGATATCCGTGCTGGTATGTCTGGTTCTTTGCCTGGGAGCTCTGTCATCAGCCGGTTGTTGATCCATGCTGATCCCTTTAACTCTGAGCCTGAAAACCTGTGAGTGTGGCCAGGAGGCTGAAGGGGAAGAGTGGGTATTTCTAAATGGACCTCAGCAGAGCAGCAGATTTGTTTATAGAGCTAAATAATGGGCTGCAGCAGCTCAGAGTTATGTGAATGAATTCATATGCTGAGTGCCTGTGAGGGTCAGTACATGCAGTTATATACATGTGGCTATATGTTGTGCATTTTTAGGGTGTAGGTGAGAAAGAGATCTAGATCACCCTTCTCCCTAGACTCAGAGATGAGTCTGTCTTCTAGTTAGTAAACAGGAACCTGTGGGGAAATCACTACCCTTACAGCATGAAGGTCCAAGTAAGGTTATGAGCAGGCAGTTACAGGGGAGGCAGGTGGGAAATACCATGTGAAGACTTTCTCAGGCTCTTTCTGCTAAACTGTTTACCAGTAAAACTCCTGTGATACAGTGACTTTTACATTTTTTTTACATGGGGTTCAATGCCCCTGAGATGAATGGCTGACACATTTGAGCTCATTTGTCAGGCTTTCTGTAGGTAACACCTAATATATAAGTGTGTGTGTATATAGGCGCAATTAGCATTGCTAATGTTTCATGACACCTTTTGCACAACGCAGTGACTACCTCTTTGTAAATGAAGTGTAGGCTTCTGAGTTTCTGTGGCAAGGGGAGAATTCCTATGCAAATCCTTGCTTGGAGTCTTACAGACAGAGGCTGCAGGCCAGGAACGTCTGCTCATCAGTAGCTACTTCTATGGTGTTCCTTGTGGGTTTCAGGCATTTCCCAGCAGTGCTTATCAGAGCATGTTGGCTTACAGTGTTCTTCTTTACCTTTTCATGCAAAAGAATTATGAGGTAGCTAAAGGAGGCGTGTGAGCTGTATACCAAATGGTACGTAGACTTACAAATGGGAGCTTTTGTTCTTTTGTTTTGCAGTGAATGTTACACAGAGAAGTGTGTCATGAATAATTATTTTGGAATTGGTCTGGATGCAAAGATTTCTTTGGACTTCAACAACAAACGTGATGAACACCCAGAGAAATGCAGGTGGGTTTGGCTTTGGCTGACCTTTGGGCACTGCCAAAAGTGACTGAAACAACTTTATGTGCAGTTTTGAAGCAGATTGTGTACAAGTGTGCTCAGTGTACAACTGCTTAGCTATATTGTCATTCTTGTCTGCGTAATCCTCCTTTAAGGCGTAAAATCATGAGGGAGGAGATAAGTTACTGATTTATTACTGATCCATTATGCTGTTGTGGCTAGTATAAGATCCTTGAGTAGCTACATTGGTGTGGATATAGTGCATTGGTCCTGTTCATGATCTCACAGATTTTACTACTGGGCTTGCTGTTTAGCTGTGAAAGAAGCACATCTCAGCTCTAGCTGCTGTGGAGGCTGATTTTGGCTTGATCCTAACTTAATATAAACGTCAGGTTTTGGCTTTTTGAATACCTGGAATGCTTTATGTGTGATTGATACATTTGCTGTACTTGAGCTGGTACAGTAAAATGCTTTTGATGTCCTGGTATATGAGATAATTAACAGGTTCTGTACCAAGGGAACCTGTGTATCTTTCTGGTAGCGTGTGCTACTCAGTTATCCTCAGTTCCTATCTGTCATTAATTTAAAGGGGATTAGTTTCCTAGCACAAGCAGTGACCATGTTGAGTGCTTGACCCTTTTGGAAGCAAAACACCTTTGTGTTTTAGGATGTAGGAAATAGCATTTCTTTGTGTTTTATTTTTCCTTCTAAGTGAAAAGGTAAATGCCTATGCTAACTTTTCCTCTTTTGATTTGGCCCCTTAGAAGTCGTACTAAAAATATGATGTGGTACGGAGTACTGGGGACCAAGGAGCTGCTACACAGAACGTATAAAAACCTGGAGCAGAAAGTCTTGCTGGAGGTGAGGAATTGGCATTCTCTTCTGTTCCTAAAACTCGGATGCCCTTCACACACCTGGACTTTGGTGTAGTGATTCTATTTGCTGACATTAGGGTATTTCTTCCTTGCCTGCCTGATACAATGTACTTGCTGTATCTCTCCCTGAGCTAGCTAAAAGTGGCTTCTTCTGATTCTGCAAGGTAACTTGTATTCTCAGCCCATAAAGTGTCATTCTGCTGGAAAGTATTAGCTGTCCCCACTCGGTATTCAGCATAGGTAAGATTGTTTTATGTGGTATCTCATGTGAATACATCATTTTAGATAGTAGGTGCAGTGTAAAGCTCTGAATGTATCTACTCTATAATGTGCAACAAACTAGAAAAGAAGTATTCTTGTATAGGCCATGTACAGCATAAACAAGTAGCTTGTGGAAGAGACCCTCATCACAGCAGACTGCATAGGTGTTTCAGGACTTTTATTCCCCTTTCTTGAGGAATAAACCAAGAGGCTTTGCCAGGCGTCTCATACGTGCCCTATTCCTGTTTGGGGAAAAGAAGCAACAGCATCTCTCTAAAATCCATATCTGCTGAAAGAGATGTGGTTCTTGAGACATGAGTGGATACATTCTACCCTGCTAAAGCAAGAGTAAGCTGGAGAAAATTGGAGTAATTTATTACTACGCTGTGCAGGTTCTTGGAGCATGTGCTCTGGCAGGAGGGGCTCTGTCCTGCTGTGCTGAGAGTAATGTTGCCTTCTTTTCTGTGCAGTGCGATGGGAGGCCAATCCCTTTGCCCAGTCTCCAGGGAATTGCTGTACTGAACATTCCCAGCTATGCAGGAGGCACCAACTTCTGGGGGGGAACCAAGGAAGATGACGTGAGTGTTATCTAAGGCAGTACGGGAAATGTTTCTACTTACTGTTGCTTTTGAAGGGACAGCCCCTGAGAGTAGTGCTTGGAAGAAGTGGGCAAGGGGCCTGTGTGCGCGTACTTTCTATGTGAAATGAGTAAGATACTGAAATCCAGTCTTCTGCAGCTTCACACCCAACAGGCTATAATGACTCAGAAAACAAATGAACAAAACCAGACCATTTGGACTTCCAGGAGGTCCTTTAGATTCACCTTGTCCTCAGACTGCCTGAGTGGTAAAGTCCCTTGAAGGGAAATGGAGTTAGATCCAGTCAGAAACATTGTATATTTGAGATGAAAAAATGCCTAATATCATAAGAATAATGATTGCTTTGTGGCCTACAGCCTTTGTTTTGAATTATACTTTAGCTGTCACTGGAAGCCTAGTGGCAGTATTGGGGCTTCTGTTTCTCTCACTGCAGATCTTTACTCGCTAGCCTCAGATGTTAATTTTATACAGATTAAATAGTATGATTGAAAGCTAACCCTCAGATCTGCACAAAAAGGGGGTAAAGGTCTCCAGCAGAGCTGTATATCAACTGAATTCTCTCTCTCTTTTATCTGGGTAGACGTTTACAGCCCCCTCCTTTGATGACAAGATTTTGGAGGTGGTAGCAGTGTTTGGTAGCATGCAAATGGCAGTGTCACGGGTGATAAACCTACAGCATCATCGAATTGCACAGGTATCAATTGCTTTAGTGAGCTCTTGTCTCTCCCATAATCCATTTTGTGATATTTTTGCCAGTTTCAGTCAGTAAAGCCCTCCTTTGTGCTCTCTCTGGTCCATGGAAAAAGCATCTACCAGGGCTGAAAATGAGCATGTTCAGAGGCAATTTGGGCACATAATTGTTTGCTAACACTCATTTGGTAGGAGTTAGACCTGCAACTCAAGTATGGATTAGTCCAAACACACAGCAAATAGTCCCTCCTGCACAAGGGCAAGGCATGCCCTGCCACTCAGGCACATGTGCCTCTAGTAGCACAAAAGATACAGTACCTGGGGAAGTGCTTTGGAAAGAAAGAGAATGTCTCATGCTTTCATAAACCCAACATTTTAGAGCTTCTCTGATTCAATCATTTGCAGTGTCGGACGGTGAAGATAGCAATCCTTGGAGAAGAGGGAGTTCCTGTGCAAGTAGATGGAGAAGCCTGGATCCAGCCTCCAGGTTACATTTGGATTGTTCATAAGAACAGGGCACAAACCCTCACCCGAGACAGGGTAAGAGCAGCTTTGCATATACTTCGTAGTATAGACACGTTTCGATGGCACATACTCTCAGGGAGCATGATGAGCTTATCTCTGTGAATCTAAGAAGTATATTTTGCTACATCCCATAACGTTTTTTTTTGAAAGAACATGGTTAAACTTGCATTCTCCACTTGGGAAATCACAGAAGTTAGGTTGTTTATGCAAGCTTATTTTGCTTCTTTGTCTAGGTACCTTGGGACAGCGTTTCTTAACACGCCTGCATGCTGTTTTTTCCACAGGATGCCTGCCTCACTGAGTATCATGGATTGTCTAGAGAAAACTGCTCATTGTTTTAATTTCTCATTATTGTTCAACATGTGGCTTTATAGCTCCTTGACCAAGTAAAGCACTGCCTTATGTCTTGTTCAGCAGCATGTCTGTTTCATGTCATAATTTTCAAATATATATGATGAATACCAGCACATAAGGAAGTGTCCAAGTTGATTTACTGTATTCCTGAATGGTGTAAAGCTAAAGGAAAGGATAAAGGCCTTGCTGTGTCACAGGCTTTATAGTTCCTCGCACCTCTGTATACGAACAGTTTGATAGCAGCTGTTGATAATTCCCAGTGTAACACCTCTTTACCCAGCTTCCCGAACAAATCAAAGTCCTCTACAAAGGACTCACCTGCTGCCTAACATGAAAAGAAAGAACAATGATGAGAAAAAAAGGAAAGCAGTCTGATACAGGCCTGAGGCACATTGCCGGGCAGGAAGTTACAAGCATGATGGTATGAAAAGAAAGCAAAGGTGGGCATACAGAGCCCCTATTATGGTAGGTCAGGGCAATACCCAAACCCCTTTGAGCTGGAAAAGGACATTTTGATCATAGAATCACAGAATGTTTTGGGTTGGGAGGGACCTTTAAATGTCAGTAAGCCCAACCTTCCTGCCATAAGCAGGGAAGTCCTGCTCAGAGCCCTGTCCAACCTGACCTTGAATGTTTCCAGGTTTGAGGCATCTACATCTCTGGGTAACCTCTTCCAGTGTTTCACCACCCTCATCGTAAAAAATGCCTTCCTTATATCTAGCATGAATCTACCCTCTGTTAGTTTAAAACCATTGCTCCTTGTCCTGTCACCGCTTGATGCTAATGCTGTGGGAGAGGATGAGACAGGAATAGTGCACACAGTCTTTCCTGGAGAAAGCTTCTGCAGTGTCACATGGAGACTTGGAGGGGGAGTGACCAAAGGAGATAGCACAGAGCGGAGACAGAATTCCTACAGGAAAGGTGGGAGGGAGAAAAGGAAAGTCAAACTACATGTGGGTATGATGAGAGAGGTGGAGTGAAACACAAAGAGGTAGAGAGGACACACAAGTCCTGTAGTGAGTGTGCTGTGTGTTAGGCCATCTGAAGACATGGCTATGATTGTGCCATCCCACTCCTCATTGCTTGCAAACCTGGTTTTGCAAGCATGGAGTTGCTGCTGAGGAAGAGGTTCCAGTACTGCAGAGCAACATTCAGTTTTTGGCTTGATTGTGGGCTTATCTTTATTTTTCCTGCCATCCTTGAGATCACCATTGCATATGTAAATATATATATATATATATATATGCATATTCCAGCAGGAATATCAGTAAGGATATGAGACAGGTCCTAGTTCTGATTTGAGCTGCTTCTCCCACCAGGGAGGCTCAATTTACTTCTAGATAAAGAGGAGCCTTGCACATACTTAATTTCCAGCTCTGAGATGTCACAGTAATACTGAAGTGTAGAGGTGATACAGCTACTCAAGGAAAAGGCTGCCACCAGTGGGGAATTGGTGGGTTTTGATGGTCTGGCCCTTAGAATTGGCCTGCAATTTTGACTAAAAACTGGCCTTAAGGAAAAGTTGAGCCAAGGCAAGCATGTGGCATGGAAAGCTTCAGCCCAGACAGCTAGTTAGCAAAGTTATAAGTAGCTGAATAACTGAGTCCTGCAATGAGAAGTGTCTGTACCCAGATCTACATGTTTTACTGGCATAGGCACAGCTATAGTTTTTTATAGGATGTTTACAAGGTATCTTATAGTTTGCTTGCTGTGGTTTTAGGCATTTGAGAGTACCCTGAAGTCCTGGGAGGACAAACAGAAGTGTGAGTTGTCCCGACCCTCCTCTTTCTCTCTGCAACCAGAGATCATGTCCGAAGAAGAATCCACCCAGATTAACCAGTTTGGTCAAGCTGCAGGTGCTCTGATCCACAGGTGGGACTCAATTTGCTTTTAGTGAACAAAGCCCTCCTTTGGTGCCTGAAGTTCTTTCCTAGTCCCTTCTCCTGGAGATATTTCTGTTCACTCTTCTGTAGTGCTGGTCCATGTCACTGGGCGTAGCATCATTCATTGTGCACTGTACCACCTGCACAAGGACTGAAGCTGAATACATTTCCTTTGGCCATTCTGGACAAAAAATAAAAGTTACTTTTGTGAGCCAGCAGGAATCCTTTAATTGTGAAAGAGCCCATTATATTTGAATATCAATGATTTTTATCAAGAATGAAACAAAGACTTCCCTAGGAGCTCAGATGACAAGTTGAGTTCTTGTAACCCCTGATGCTCAGCAAAAGCTTGTGGAGGAAGTCACTATATGCTGATCTCTTCATCCTTTAGTTGGGCATTCAGCTCCTTGATCTGGGCACCTGAGAGAAAATTCCCAGAGACACATCAGAGAAGTTTTAGTTAACCCGCATATGTGCAGCTGTTTTTCACATCACTGTGGCCATACTAAAGCATCTGGGTCGTTTTTCAAACTGATCCCAACCTGTGTGCAGAACTGAATACGCACCTGGAGTTGCTCATGTGAAATCTGCCTTGCTTTGCCTATGCATGCTCACTACAGCTGGGAGAATTGCTCTGGTTTGCCAGAGGCTGTGCTCCTCCCATTCTTTCTCCCTGCTCTTGTCATTCAGATGGGTATACAAAGGAGATACCCAGTCAGAAAAGAACTTCTGCTTTTAGCATATGCTGATGAAATCTGTAATTTTCTCTTTAGCATACGGGAAATAGCCCAATCCTATCAGGACATGGAACAGGAGCTTGCCCATGCTGTCAATGCCAGCTCCAAGTCTATGGACAAAGTCTACGCTAAATCCAAGTCTTCAGAGGTACTTCACTCACCTGGCATCTCGCATTTTGTCTTTGTCCCATAGCTCATTTTCCTTTCTGATTGACCAAAAGTAGGACTTTCTTATCTAGGACATTTTCCTTTTGACTGCTTAGACCTCCGTGTTTCTAAGCTTAATTTGTACACGAATTGCTTCCCTACAGGGTCTGAATTGCAGCCTTGTTGTAGAGATGGTGAATAACGTCAAAGCCCTGCATAATGAGACAGAGCTGCTGCTCGCAGGCAAGATGGCGCTGGTAAGAAGCACAAAGCAGAAGTAAAGCAGCCTCTCCCTTTCTCTCCTACTGTTGCCTTGGCAAGAAACTGGTCTTGGTCTTCTTTGTCTTTGTAGCAAGTCAGTTTAAATGTTACCATCCAGGAATTAGGTTGGTGTTGCTACATAGACATGATGAGCAGTCAAACTGACTTGTGTGGAGTTTGGAGCACAGAAAAGATTAAAATTGTTAACTTGGTAATGTCTGGGCAGAGTGCCCGCTGTGCGCTTCCTTTTAAAAGGAGGAGCTGATTTGTTAGCTAGGAATTTCAAGGCAAGGGCCTGATTGTGTGTTGCGCCATATGGCTTTTAACTTTGCTTCCATTTCTGATCCAGCAATTAGATCCTCCACAGAAGGAGCAGCTCCAGGCAGCTCTGGCGGACATGGACCTCCAGCTGAGGAAACTGGCAGACATCCCTTGGCTGTGGCAGCTTATGGAGCCCTGTGATGAAGAGGTGAGGAGGACCAAGGCTATATTTCCCTAGCTGTTCTCTTTTTCACTAGTTGGCTTTGAGTGTTTGACTTCCCGTGAATAATACGACTGATGTGAGAAAAAATCATTAACAAGGAAATTTTACTCCCTAGGGCTAAAGAAAGTAATATCCTGCTAAGCTCCCTTGCCTGACATGGGATCAGCTTTCCCTGTTTCCTGTCTTGATAAGAATGAGTTTAGAAATCTTTTTCCTCTTTTACAAGGTCAGGGAGCTGAGCCTGACAGTACTTGGTCCATTCCAGTCTATGTATGACTCTGCCTGATTTTCCCTTTTTGTTCTTACAGAACCAGATGCTGGATTATTCTAAACGCAGCCGCAGTGGCAAATTCAGGCTGGTGACCAAGTTCAAAAAGGAGAAGAACAACAAAAATAAGGAGGCTCATAGTAGCATGGGATTGCCGGGTACCAAGTCTGTTTCTTCACTGTGTTTCTGCCACATCAGTGTGGTCACACAACCAACTGTTCTTTGTTTCCTCTCAAGTGCTCTTCTTCTGTTTTATGTGAATCTGCCTTTCCTTGAAAGTCTAGTCTGTCTTTCTTGTGTGGCAAAGCAGCTTATTGCTCCATTCTGTCTAAATCCCCCAGTACGACACAAATATTCCTGAGCAGAAACAGGCGGTACCCTCTGAAGAATTCAGCCTATGTCCAGATATTTTTAGGGATATTTTAGGGGTGTTTAGTGAAGTGAATTTGAGAATTTTGGCATTTGAGATATCAAAATGACTGCGGGGCCCAAGTCCGCACAACTCCAGTCTTTACACTGCTAATTCTCTGAATTCTCTGTGATACAATTAATGATGTTTTTCTTATTGATTCATCCTCAGGCTTTAATCAAGTTTCATGTTTAATTGTCTGGGGATCAGCATCACCACAGGTGCACTCTCACCTTTAATCCTACTGATCAGTAGATAAAAACTGGCTATTAATCAACAAAAAAACTTTCTCTCCCATTGGGTTAGTTGATTTTTGGCTTATACTCTCCTTATGAAGACTTCCTTCTAAACTTCAGAAGTACTACCTGTTCTGTGGGCTCATGGGTACTGTCCTCTGCCACAGAGTTCTGGGTACAGTCTCCTGTTTGACAGGCTGGTGCTCATTTATTGGCTCCCAGAACCTGGGAACTTTTTTCTCTTATTCAGAGGCTGTGCAAGAAAATGGAGGTCTAAACTCTTCCTCTCTCCCTGAAACCATGTGAGAGTGGTTGCCGTTACGTTTTCTGAGCACAAGTGCTTGTATGTAATAGCAAACTAATCTGTGCTGGATTCTTCATGATATATTTCATGAATCTGTTGTACCATAAGCAAAGGAATGAACTTACTTTTCTTAAACATGGTAAACTTTAAAAATCATATCCAATCCCATTAAAACAAACCTGCAACGTTTCTTGTGGCTTTACTGCAGTGAGCCTCTGCTTAAGAGAATGCCTCTTACCTTTCTCTGCCCTACCTCCTTTGTTTGATATAGTAGGTCATGCTACCAGTCTTTGCCCTCCCCTTGGTCTGAGGCTGTGATACTGCTTGCCCTCCTTTTCTGGTACTGAGTTCTGATGGTGTCCTCATCTTTCACTGTCTTCTGGGATTCTGGGTACTCAATGCACTCCTGCTTTTCCATCTCTGACAGTTCACCTCTGGGGAACGGAGGAGGTTGCGGCCTGGCTTGAGCATCTCAGTCTTTGTGAGTATAAGGATATCTTCATCCGGCATGACGTCCGGGGCTCTGAGCTCCTGCACCTCGAACGGAGGGACCTCAAGGTACTTTCATGAGTGGCTCATGAGAAATAGCCAGCTGCATCTGCATGACCTTCTGTGCTGAATGTGCTGGGAAGTGATCTGCCTGCTGTTCATTCCGGGTTCATTGCGGCCTCGGTTTGTTTTCTCACCATTTCAGATCAGCTGATTTTTAATAGCAGGAACGTAGCTACTTGAGGGACAAGATGTCAAATCCTATCACACCTTCCTGAAGATGTAATACAGTGCAGCAGACAGTCTGTAGATAGCATTCCTGAGAGTCTGATTTTAATGATGGACTGGAAAATTTCAACTTTGCTACTGTGCCATCTTTGCAGAACATGTTGTGATTGGGAAGATTTGGTTCTTGTGGTGTAGTGACTGGACAAACAGATCACTACACTTCTTTGTGACGAGAACGGAAAATGGTCGTGGTTTTTGGTGGGGCTGCTAGGTGGAGAGAATTGTTATAAACAGTGCTCAGTAACCACACTGTGCAAGTTTTCATCTCTGCACCAGCAGATGCTTTCTCTACAGAGAAAAATTGAAAGTGGTTGTTCTTTGTGTGTACAAGAGACTTAATGTCAAATCTGGTGACTTGCATATTGCAGAAAAATGCTTTGTTGTAAAGTAGTGCATGGCATTTACTGAATGCCCCTTGGATCTTCATTTGTGATTTTGACCGTCTTCCCCTTCTGAGGTTTGCTGTAGCAAATCTGTGTAGTTGATTCCTCTGCCAGCTACAGCCTGTGTTCTGTTGCATGGTGCCCAAGTGTTCACATGTTTATTTGATGTGACTGGTTGGTTCTTCCTGCATGTTTGGCTCCTAGCTTAGGCCCTTGAGAATCTGTATGCTCTTTTCTGTTCTCTTGCTTTGGTCTTAACAGTCAAAGCAATTTGCATTTCTGCAGTTGCTTCTCTGTTGCTCTGTGCCTGTTCTCTGTTCATTATCCTGTCATGCTCTGATAGTTCTTGACACATGGTTTGAGGTTCCATTTATAACCATCAGGTTTGTAATATTTCTGGTTGCTTTCCCCCTCTCTATAACTGCCTGACTAGGTTTGTAACCATTGCTTGGCCACCTGCAACTTCCCCCCTACCGTTAACCTAAGGTAAGGTTTTCTCTTTTCTTCCAGGACCTGGGTGTGACCAAAGTAGGTCACATGAAGAGGATACTGCATGGGATCAAGGAGCTGAGCCGGAGTATTCCTGCCAGCGAGGTTTAACCTCTGTTTTCACAGCTTGTGTCTACCATTCCCCCTAACTGCACAGCAGTCACCTCACAGAGCAGATGTGCTCACAACTGTCTCTACTGAACAGCCAAATTGTAGCTGTTCAGGGCTCATATCAACCAAGCATGGTGCTACCTTTTTTCCTGTGGGGTACGGCTGTATCCAGTCAAGAGGCAAATTATCTGCAGCCATGCAGAGCCTCCCAGAAAAGAATTCACTTGCTGTTTGAAGAACCGTGTTGTCCAACATGGGAAGTTCTGGTTCCAGTGACAGTGCAGGACTCCTGAGAATTGCAACACAGCTACCTTTACTGGATAACTTCATCACAGTAGAATTATTCAGGGCAAAAGATATATTGGCCAGTCTTAGTTCAGGAGCATCTGACAGTCTTTTCAGACCCAAAACTTCTCCCCTCATCTGTCGAACCTGTATGGGTAAAGCATTTATGTGGGACAAAGCTTGTCCTTGCATCTTACTATTCCCTTTTTAATGCGTCTGTAGTTGCATGCGATTTGCATCAGAAATTCAAAGCCAGTACAGACCTCTTGCTGATGAATACCCAGTGAATCTCACTCACTTATGCCTTGCAACAAACAATGCATGTGGTTCAAACAGCAGTTTGCACCACCTTGAGGAGTCTTCCGCTGGACCTGGCTCTCCTCTTCCAGCCAGTGGCAATGGTACAACCTTTAGGTTTTCAGGCATCACAAACAATTGTTTGTGAACAATTCCTGGCAGTAAGAAAAGATAAAATTGCAGAGAGCCAGAAGATTACAGGAGATCAGCTGTGACATCCCACCATCTGAATTCATCTTCAGGAGACCACATGAAAGGGAGAGGAATGCTAACTAACTGCTCGGGCTGTGGAGAAGTGTAGTGTAATGGAGTGAGATATAGAACAATTTCTCTTAGTGGAGGGAGCAGCATGACTGGCAATGTCCAGGAGCATCTTCCTGCCCATTTAGTGCTACCCTCATGGCCATAAACAGCAGAGCTGTTTCTTTACTTCAGCTTGTAGTACAGAAGACTATTTCTGTCACAAAAAAAAAACCACCCTGATATGATTTCTCTTTAGTACCTGCACCTTTTCACCTATCTTCCTTTTAGTGGCTTTCCCACCTTGCTTCTCTGTCTTGCTGCCTTGCTTCTTCACTCCAAGATGGATACCAAAAGTTAAGGGTGGCACAGTCTTCCTGGGTTATACCCCTGAGGGAGATACTGTGTGCTATCAAACATCAGAGCTCCTGTAAGAGCGCTGAGAGGAGGATTGTTATTGAGCAGATGAGCATCACAATGAAAATGGCAGTATGTTGGTAAGTCAGCTTTGGTACCACCAGCAGTGGAGCATGGAAAAATTAGTGCCTCTGAATCAGAGTTCCTAGATGCTCTTCAAATTTCCACTGAACTGCCTGACCCCAGCTGAATGACTGTTAAAGCCTGACGACCAGCATGCATAGTTATATTGCCATGTTTATCACTGCAAAGGGAATTTTGGGACATCCAGTGCTCTATAGCTAGAGAGACAGCAGAAATTTTTAATTACTTCGTCATTTTGTATGTATTTATTTTTTTTATTATTACACAGTGGGACCTGTCTTGACTAAAGCTGCAGACAGAAAAATAGCCACATATGCAGTGGCATAAAAGGTAATTGCTTGAGGACATCGTTGTTCTTTGTTATTTTTAAGGATTTTATCTAACTTATATCAGCTCTCTGGTCTAACAACAGCCAGTCAAGTGATGTTACTTGGCAGCTTAAAAAGGTTACGGTCTGATTTCATGCTGGGCAAACTCCATTGTGTTCTTAAGATTTCACCACGGACTATTCTGTCTCTGGTTTTTTTTTAACTAGTTGTCATTCATCCATGTCTCCTCTCAGCCTAGTGGGTGTCAGGGTTTGCTCATGAGAACTTAACAGGAAGACTAAACGTGCTTGATCTAGCTAGCAAAATTTCTGCTATAAATGCTGTGGGGACTAATCAAGAAATGTGTTCAGCTCTCCCCTGAATTTATTTCTCCTATCTGTACATTGGCAACTGCCTTAATAGCCATACTTTGTCTTTATCAGTACAGGCCCCCTCACTCCGCTGAATTCCTGAGGTATCAGATAAGTAAGAGTTCTAGAATTACTGTAGTTGCCCACTTGCTTGTTAAGGCACAGAGTCTGCATGAGAATGAGGAGGAACCTACACTAAGGAGACCCGGTGACAGTAAGGTGCACCCTGTTGCCTGACCTCAGGAGCATGCATGGTTAGGACATTTGTGTGCCTGCCCAGGAGAGCGCAGCAGGGAGCACAGGGCAGGTGATAGCTCTGGAGAAGAGGTGAGATCTCTGTGTGTTCCTCTCTGTGGTAAAGGAGCTGTTCTTACTGTCAACTTTCTCCAGGCAACCTCATGGTTAAAGATGCATAAGCAGTATGTGCTTGCCTCGCATAATTCCCAGGGGATTAAATTCTTGCCTTGGTAGAAGCAGCTCCTCTGCTCAAAGTAATAGGGGAATCCAAAGAGGTTTTATATTCAGTCATGTTCCTTGATTCATGTTGTATCTGTTGAGGCCTGATGGCCATTTGCCACCTGCTGTGAGTGGTGATGCTGCCTGCATAGGCCAATCTTAATTTCTTTTACTTTTTATGATCTGTTGTGTTTATAGGTTCAGATCTTATTTGTGTACACACACATTTTTTCAAAGGGTTCATAGCCAGTATATTCCTGTCTGTTGCTTACCAGAGGTGGGGAGGGAGTTCTGCCTTCTTTTAAAATCTAGAAAGTGGGGTTTGCATTTAACCTGGGTGCCTTTGCATATTTATTAAGATTTATAACAAACAAAAGGGTCATAGCTCTGTGTCTTGGAGTAATAAAGATTCCTGCTGCAGTTTTTGTGGTTAGATCAGGAGAGTTTGTCTCAAACGTCAGTGAGAGCTATCTGCAAAGTAGGAAACTAGGCTGAACTACTGGCTACATTATTCCAAGTTCCTCTTGTGGCAACTGGTAATTTCCTGTGGGAGAGAAACTCAGAAAAGAAATAGGGCAGTAAAAAATCTGCTGCTTTGCCAAAAAGGAGACTCTCCTGCAGTCTCGGGTAAAACACCAGTTTGAGGGGAAGCTAGAAGTGGACATGTCACACGTATGTTTAGTATCTTGAAAACTGCTCCTCATGTGAAAGCCATGTGGCACCTTCTGTTTATTATCCTTCACCCTTGGCAGTGATACTGGGGCAGTGTCTGGAGGTGAGCTGGGCATACAGTTTCTTTTACTAGGAAAGAGGTTTTAGTACATTATCTCACATTCTGGCACTGCCCTGTATATGTAACTTTAGTGGCAGATTCTGGGCAATAACATACCCTGTGTTGTGATGTTTCGGTTAAATGGGATTGCATGCTATGGAGACTCAAGGAAGGTCTGGCCTGTGAAGCAGCTGTCAGCAGTGTCCTGCTCTGGGCTGTCTTTGGGAGGGCTGTTGGCCCTAATGCAGTCTCTGGTTTTGCTTGTGGGATCTTAATGGTGAGAGCACACAGGAGCCAGCTCTTTGCAGCGGAGGGGAGCTGTGCTGTTTGGCCCTGAGGTGCTGGCCTGGCTGGAGCCACACAAGCACCCAGGAGCTTCCATCTCTGCTGAGGCCTTCAGTGCCAGTCCCGGGAATGTTTCAAATCATGTGGACAGCTTTGTTCATTGTTTTAGTATTATTTAAAACTGTGCATACTATCTATGTGATTAAAAAAAGAAAAAAGACTGTTTACACAAAACATTTTGTATCTTAAGATGTGTGTACTGTAAAAAGGAAAGGATGAAAAATGGTGTTTTTCTACAACTGTCAGCAGTGACTGCATGTCTATATCACCGTCTATCAACCATTGTTCCTCAGGGGTCTCCCCGCTATTCCTGTGATCCTGTCAAAAGCATAGGGAAGCAAGTGAATCCCTGTACAGTCTTGGGAAGAAGGTTTTGTGCCTTAAGAATGGGACCTGATTCCCTCCTATTTATTGTGTTAATTTATACAGTGATTACCATGGAAATGTCTCTTGTATTTTTTTGTACATAGTTTACTGTTGATTGTTGTAAATAAGTTTTTCTTGTATATTAAGTAAACACATTTCTGAGCTTCCAGTAAAGATTCTGTTACTGATTTCATTGTGTGAGAGGGCTGCAATGCCCATCTGGTGAAAACCAGCTAATAAAAAACTGTTCTGTGATAAAATGGCTTTATCCTGAGTTGCATCAGAAGTTTAGAGCTGTTCCTTAGAGAGGAGTGAAATGGTAATTGTGATTGTTGTACATTTTGTAACCTTTCTTTGCATTGCTTTAATTGGCACAGAGTAGAAGACATCATGTAGTTTATTTTTACTATGTATGTATCTGCAGGCATCAAAAGAAGAGAAGTTTTAAACATAGTGGTTCTACTGCTGCTCATCCTGATCATAGCTCTGCTGTCTGGAAACCAACAGGTAGATGGGGAGATAGTCTCAGAAACCCAGCAGGGTGTTTGTTAGTTACCTCCATGTGCTTGCAGACTTCTCATGAGGTGATATGGTGGAACCATGTCTTCTGGTCAGGGTGGTGCAGTTCCATGATGAGAGGGGAGCAGTCATTGCTCTGCTGCACTTGAGCTCCCGTGATTCAGTTTTTTGCAGGCAATATGTATGGTAACTGGAATAAGCGAAAGTGCATTTACCAGAATGTGGGAGAAAATAATTTTCTCGTGAAATGTAGAAATTGACTAAAATTACACCTGTAAATTTGAAACTAAAAGATTCAGAGATGTTTGGGTGAGCAGTTCATGGGTTAGTTTGTGATGAGCTCTCTCTTCCATCTGTACAGACTGATGTGTTTATAAGTTGCTGACAAGAAACTTCAGGCATTTTAATTTAAAACATGAAGGTGCTTGTAAGAGTTACATAGTACTGTTGCAAAGTAAATGGAAAGTAACTTGTAATGGTTGTGAATATTTTCTATGTGAAAAAAACCTTTGTATTTTATAGTTAAACTAAAGTGTGGAGAGAACAGTTTATATGACAGGAACATAAGAAACTGTAGTAATGTTACATACCGTTGCAGAATGAAAATGCTAAAATTGATCTTTAAAATGTTAAGTTACCTAGAGAAGTAATAAAGAGAAAAAGAAAGTTATTGCATTTGCTCACACACACACACCAGACTTGAGTGTTAGGCTCTGCATTAAGTATTACTACAGAAAACATGCAAAGAAAGCAGCAGCAGAGACACAGAAGATACACTTACTCGTCTGATATCAGTGATTCATTTTGGTCTTTTACCTATTTATGTGGCAGAAACCAATAACAAGAAACTCTTGGCCCTACTCAGTGCACTCAGTGTATCATTACTGGGATGTCCAAACAACTGCTCAGGGCTGCCATCCTCTTGGTTTGATTGGTAACTACTTGATGCATCTTGGTAGGGTGCAGTGGGTTAAAAGGGAGGTGTGCTGTAAACATCTTGAGGAACCAGTGAGGGTTTTCTTAAACAATGTGTTCTGCTGGTGTTCCACTTGTCCTGATTTTTGAGTTGGTGGGGTTTATGTGTTTGGGTTTTTTAACACAGTGTAAAGCATCAGGATAGTTGAGGAGATCTGCTCCCACTGAATGGGCAGCACTGCAAACGAACATGTTGAGAAGCCCTGTCATTCCTTACCTGTAAAAGAGCTTCAGAGTCATAAAGTAAATTTCTCATTCCTATGGGCCTGGTTGGGATAAGTATCTGTGCACTCACCAGCTGGGCCTTGAGCAGCTTGAGATATTTAATTTTCATGTGAGAAGGATGAAAAGGTTTTCAGACCATGGAAAGTGACGTTTTGTTCTAATAACACCTAAAAGATACTCGTCAGTTCTGTGGCAATTTCTGTCTGAAGAGTTCCAGCACTTGCTGGCTTACCAAGTGGCCCGGAAGTCTTTTGTCTTCACAAGAAAGGAAGAAGTGGGGGAGTTTGCATGTGACCTAAAAGACCCACCACTTCTGCTGATTTCAGACTGCAGCCTCAGGTGGGTGCAAGCAGATAACAACCAGGGAAGTAACAGGCTAGGAAGGACTGTCATGGGAGCAGCTGGGGCTCTGTCAAATTACTCTTGCTCCCAGGCTGCAGGCTGGATTCACAGCAGCACTTCCCAGCAGCCTGCTGGGGATGTGCTCTGAGCTGCCTCCCCACACATAGGCTCTCCACAGAGAGGTATTTTCTGCTGTCCTGGTAGTGTGTTCCTGTGTCAGCTATGCAAAACCTTGACCTTTTGTTTAAGCCTAAGGAGACTTAATATTCCAGCTTGGTTTTGTAGGGAAGCATGAGCTGGTTGGTTTGTCTGTTGCTGTGTGTATCAGGTTGTCTTTCCCCTTTTAATGCCTGTTGGGAATTTTCTGTCTCATTTCAGATGATTCAGAGGGAACAGATGGCTCATAGAACATTATGTTTCCGCAAATCTGGCAAGAAATCAGTACTGAGGATGAGAGGGAGATCTTGGTAGTGCTCTGGCAGGGGGAGGCTCCAGTGTGCATATAGAACATAGGATTAGTGCTTTTATTGCTCAGTGAATTGTTCAGATTTGTTACAAATTAAAAGATCTTTTGGTGAAGTAGGAAGAAGTGATGGATGCAATACAAGGTTGATTGCTGAAGAGCTGTGATTTGAGGACTTGTAGCTTTACTGCCTCAGTTCCCCCTTCTGTCAAAATTTACATCTGCCTATAAATAATATATAGAAATTTACATTTTAAAATTAAATTGCAATTTGGAAAAATTTGAGAGAAGTGGCTCAGCACTCCTGGCTCAGGAGGTAAAGGCTGAGAACACAGTTTTGAGTTTTCCAGAAGCTTTCCTGTAGAAGAGGCAAAACCAAAGCATTTGGCTTTTTTGTGCACAGGGAAAACAAGAAGAGCGAACTATATGGTGTGAGGTACTCTTTCCTGTCAGTTTGAAGAATGGATCAGCAGAGGTTCACAGTGCACACATCTTCCCCACTGTGAGTTTGGATGCCGCACGAGTCCTGAATGGATGAACTTCGACAGTTTTGTTTAGAGAGAGCTTGTTTTCAAGAAACTTCATGGCCAAGTTTGTAAGGGAAAGGGGAAAAAAGTTTTACAAGTGGTCAGAGCTCTCCCAGACGGTGTTACTGGAGGGGAGCTGAGGGCCTGGGGAGCCCCACCTTTCTCTGACACCTGATGACACTTTTCTCTATGAAGAACCCCTAAGGCTCATGGCTGCACAGGTTATTTGCATGGAGATGTCATGCTCTGTACGGCCTGCAGAGGTGCCGCTGTGCAGGCTGCTCCCAGGGAAGGGGACTCACTGGTTCGTACTACCTCCGATGCAGGAAAACTTCTAAAAGGATTGTGGTTTTGGTTTAAAATGTTGTATATTCAAAGTTCAGTCAGAGGTTCTGTGCTGATGAGAGCTGGTCCAGTGCACCTAAAGATGTAGTATGCTGGTACAAGCTTCTTGCCCTGACTCCTCATAGCAGGCAGCTGATGGGCAGCTACTGCCTGCTCATGGCTGTAAGGGGGAGGGGAGTTAGTTACCTTGCCTGTTCTGCAGTTGAACCTTTGATGAAGAAATAAAGTGAGAGGACTCTTAAAATAGCAGTATGTGTCCCTTTTGGGTGATTGCATGCTGTGAGAAGGTGGTAGGATCTCTCAAGAGGCCTCAGCACTGGATGGTTGCACTTACAGACTAAATATAATCATTTATGCTTGCCAGGGATTCAGAAGGAAAAAGAAACAAAACAGATTTGCAAAAGGCAGAGTGTGTGCCTCAGCTGTTTCACTTTTCTCCTGCATGCAGGTAAATCACCAAGCTCCCCCTGAGCGCTGTTTGTTTAGTGACTAAAAAGAAAGCACTTCATGTCACTCCAAAGAGTAAATAGGTGAAGTTATGGATTAACTAAGTTCCAGCAGAGCTCATGGCGGAAGAATAGATCTCGCTGTTTCACAGTGAATATAGCAGTAAGTGCTTCCAAAGTATTGTATCCTTTGGGATTTCACAGTACCGCTTGCTTTAATGAAGTGTAAAGCTTGGCGAAAACGTGACAAGGGGAGGAGGATGTTGGGGCAGACATGAAGTGTTCTGGGAGAGCTGCTGATGGGTTAGATGGATCTAACAAACCAGTCTGGAGGGCCTCCAGTGAACGGCTGCTTTGGAGCTGGAATCACAGAAATCACAGCACTAAGTGAGGGAGGTAGCAGAGCTCTCTGACTAGCAACTGCCTGCAGCATGGGGGTCCTGCTACAGCTCAGCAGTGATTGCCTCTTCACACCTACCTTCTCTTCTTTAGGTGACGCCTGCTGCAGTATGTGGAAGCTTGTCACTATAGGGGTGCTGCTGGCTGCTGTCTCTTCACGAGTCTGTAGTGCCTCAAGTAAGTTTTAATTTTAGAGATACCCTTTATCCTTTTCCAGTCACTGCATTTCCTGCTCCTCTTGTCAGTCATGGGGAGTGGCTGGAATCATTTCCACTGTGGAGCTGAATTCTTCAAGTAGAGGTTGACAGACCCAGTGCTGGGCCATGTTGGCTGCCTGGTCACAGCCCTCATGAGCCCTCTGAGCTACCACAGAGCAGAGGCTGGAGCTTGCTTCTGCAGCACAGCACTGACAGCCCATGTTTTCTAGGGCAGGCTCTCCTGCTGCGCTAGGGAGGGGCTATTGCTCTGGTAAATGTCCCTTGGGAAGGACCACTACTGGTTTTCAGCCAGCTCTTTTCCCTTGCTTTGTGTTTTCACGTTCTTGTTTACAGTATTTTACAGCACTAGAGATGCAAACCAGGTCCTGAAAATCCAGAAGCGTGCAAACTCTTTCCTGGAGGAGCTCAAACCGGGCTCTGTGGAGCGTGAGTGCATTGAGGAGCGGTGTGACTTTGAGGAGGCCAGTGAGATATTTGAAACCAAGGAAGCAACAGTAAGTCTGGGTTTTTTTTAAGGATGAATGTGGGATTTAACCAGTCAATTGTTTACTTAAGTATTTCAGTGCAGGGCATGGGAGATCTTGCTGTCAGCACCAAACATGCATCACTCCTAACTACTAAGATGTAGGCATGATTTGAATGTCCCTGTGTTACAGTAATTGTCATGCTACCACCTGTATGGCCCACAAAACTTGGCTGCTCATGCATGTCCCACCTGAGGTTTAGGTCCCAGCCAGGTACTCCCACTCCCTGCTTGACCCAGTTGGCTGTTCTTGCTGCCACTGAGTTTTTCCTAGTCCT